ATCCACCGGGGAGCTTATCGCGATAGAACATGATAGGAACTAAGCTTCCCCGACACTTGTCGAGGGTAGATTTTTGGCTCGAGCTCGCATCGATGAGTTGCTCGAACTTCCTTTTCACCGATCCTATAGTGAGTTTGTTGAATCCTCCACCAGATATGACCATGGCGGAGGGGGGAGGTTTCCCATATGATGTGCGCTACAAAATGGATAGAGTTTTCGGCCTCGTCGGGGACGTAGAAGTCCTCAGGTCGGGAGATGGACATAGGGATTTGCAGGTTGTTAGTGTCATCAGAGGGTAGCTTCTCCTCCTCGACCTTCATCGCTTCCCGGGCATCTTACCGAGGAGTCTCTCTTCTCTTGGTGTACTGCTTCAGGTGCCCATCCCTGATGAGGATTTCAATTGCATCCTTAAGGTGGATGCACTCTTCAATAACGTGCCCGTGGCTATTGTGAAAGCGGTAGTCTTTGGTCTTGTCTGCAGTAGGCTTATGAGGTGTTTGCTTGGGAAAACAAAATCTAGCCTGGCGAAATTCTGAGTTCGTGCACTCAGATAGGATACACATGTGAGAGGCGATCAACATCATGTATTTGGCAAAACGGCAAGCAGGTCCTTTGTACTCCCGAGAATCACGGGGCTTATTCTATTTCCTCTTCTCTCCTCCTCGGCGAGGTGCCATGTGGTTATCATGCCTTGAAACTCTGTGGAGAATAGTCGCACTTCTCTCGCCAAAGGCTGTCATCGCGGCGTGGCGGCGAGCCCTTTGGTCGGTCCTTCGGTTTCTGTGGAGGCGAACGACAGTTATCCGGTCGTATGTTGGCTTTGCTTTTCTTGGTAACCAGGGAGCGTCGATCATCGCGTGGAGGAGTACGATTGCACTTCAAAGGCTGAGGTCTCTCCAACTGTGGGTGGTAGCCTGGTTGTCGCGGTAAAGGGCTCCGGGATTTATACCGTGGGTGTCTCCGCGGGGGAGAGCTATGAACGACATTCCTTCTCCAACGCTCTGATCCTCTCGTTCTGCTGATAGATCAACATAATGGTCTAGTTTAGCGCCTTGAATATGACCGCCATGGTTGGGTTGGCGTTAGGCGGCATCAGAATCAATTGAAATTTCTCCGGAGCTTTCTAGACTCTGCGAGTTTCGACGTATTGGACGCCGTGGTTGACCGCATCATTGGAAGAGGGGGAGGCGGTGCGCCCGTCTCTCCTTGGTGGAGTGCTTTCCTCCAAAATCGGCATGTCATTGTTGTTGTCGGCGTCATGGACGGGAGAGAGGACGGTTTCGTGACTGCCGCTGTTGTTGTCGTATTGACCAGCCATGATTGGTTTCCGAGGTTTTTTGTTTTGATCTTTTGGTTTCAGGGAAAGAAAAGACGGGGAAACAAATTTGCCACAGACGACACCACTAATCTAAGTTGTCGATCAAAGTAAGTGAGTGGCCAGCAACACGTCTGCGGTCTTGAATGGTCGACGGAGAGGGGGCGTACCTGCAAACACTTCGATGCTTAAGTCAGTTCGGGTGAAGAGGTAAGTAAGAAAGGGTAGAGAATAAAATATATGACTCTCCTGCAAAAGAAGGTTTTTATACTGAGCCCCCAACGCTTGGCCAATGGTCTTCGTTGTGGGCTGAATGTTCAGGCCCACAATGAATGACTGCCAGAACTTCCACGTGAGAGTGAGGATGAGCAGCTCGTGCTCATCGTCCTAGGTCAACCACTCTGCACTCCCTGGATAATGGATGTATTTGTCCGTTACGAATGACAGAATGGTTTTGCGAGGTGTGCGGGTCAAGTTGGTGATGTGTCCTCGGGTGAGTGGCACGTGGGGAACATGCTCTCCACTTGCCCTAACGGGTTAGGCCAACACTTTGAACCGTTCTCGATGTAGAACTGAGTTAGGTTGTGCTCGACGTTGCGTCAACCATAAGTCCAATCCAGAACACTTTAGTTGATAAAAAATAATTATATTTTTCTTTCATCTTTTTTTAAAATATAAATATTTTTTTTATCTATATTTTTAAAAAAAAAATTTTGGTTAGATTTGATTTTTTTTCTTCTTTCAATTCCGTCATATCTGAGAAAAAAACTACATGTAAAAACATATACTACACACCGATCACTTAAGTCAAATTTGAAGAATTTAAAGCTTAATTCTTATAATTATTATAGTTGTATGAATAGAATCATTACATTATTATTATAAATCTGAACCAAAATTACATGTAAAAACTTATATGATGAAAAGTTGCTATAAGTACTACAAACATATCATTATCCCTACAAATATTTATAAATCATACTCCATAGTGTGATATTTTTCTACTGGGTGATAAATTGAATTTTTTTTTATCAATTAGAACAATTTTATAAAAAAAACACACACACACGCATTCAGAGTATTTAAAGAACGCGTACATGATAAAACAACATCAGATTTAAAATACTCATTAGTTTCAATGTCTAATAAATCTAAACCAAAATAAAATTAAAATTACTCTCATAAAATTACTATTCATTAATTGAGAAAGGTTAGAAGAAGTATGAGGTTGGTAATTATAATAATTCTTAAATAGTCAAAATAATACTATATTAGTTATAAAAAATCTTTAAAAACTAACTTAATATTTTAATTAAAGATAAAAAGTGAATCATTAGTCATCTTACACCAAATAATATCATCTTACATCAAATTGTAGCAAGTATACAACATATCAAATTGTTATGTATTAGTTCTTATCTATATTTCAATTAAAAATAAAACTTATATTTATTATTTCTTATCCTATTTTTGTTAAATTATTCCTCACTAAAAAAATGTCAAAATTATTTATTTGCCCTTTTCTTTAATTCTTTTAAGAATACTTAATTTGATATATTTAAAAAATATTGTTAGAAACAACTCATCAATTTATCATTAAAAATAAATTAGAGGATATCATTTTGTACCCATAATAAATAATAAAATATCAATTTTCAGGAAAGCTGCATAATCAAACACATACTCAAATCAAAATAGTAAAAATATTTTCTACAAATCAACATTCGCATATACATCATAAAAAGCATCTCTTTTACTTTCCTCACAGTAATAACTCAATAGCAAAAAGAGAACGCATTAAGAAAACAAATCTGAAACCAAAAAGAATAAGATTTTTTTCAATCCGACGATTTTCGATAACTGCATTCTCTATGTTTCTCTGTTGCATTTCTAATTTGTTATTTCATGTTATCAGATTCTTGCTTATATACCTCTTATTTGGGATCATACTTTACTCTCATGATTGGTGTGAATCTATTGAAAAACAAAAAATAGTAGATGAAAAAAAAAATTGGAAAGTAAAAATAAAGAGAACAAAAATAAACTTATTTGAACCAAGTGAGGTATTAAGAAGTAGATGATAGATTTTCAGAAAGAAGCAGGTGATGGAAAATGAGAGAATCAAGACAACATAAATCATACCCCTAAAAAAACTCGAAAAACTCTGAAATACTAATAGACAGACTTTTAAATCGCTGAGAAAATGTAAATATTCAAATGATGAACAAAATATATAAAAATATTGTTAGATTCAAAAAAATCAACAACAATCTAACGACTAAGTAAAAACATGCAAAACAATGGATGATATAAAAAGTGAAGAAAATGTACAAGAGGTATTTCTGTGTTGTTGTTTCTTCTTCTTGTTAGATAAAAAATTGATACAAAGAAAAATTTAAAATAAAATAAGAAAGAGATACGTTATCAAAAAATTTATTAGATCTCAAAGGTTTCACATTCACAACGGTAGAAACTCATTTTTGTTTTTTTTTGGTTTGAATAGCATTTTAGGAGAAGAAATTCGTCATAAGGTTTAATATAAAAAGAAAATGAAATTGGAAATGAAAAGAAAATATTAAATGAAAAGAATATAGAGGGAGAAGGAAAGTAGAGATGAGGAAAATAGAACAATGATTTGATTAAAATTTGGAAAATTGATTGGCAAAAATTTGCTTTGTAGAATGAAGAAAAAAATTACATCATGTTAACATGTGTGAGAAATTTTATGTAAACTTGGTTAGGGTGAAAAAGTGAATTAATTGGTAGCATTTTAATGTTAGCAGGTTTAACTTCAAGAAGTTGATATTGAGACTGAATCGAGTTAAGTGTTCTGAAGTCTAAATCTTATCTGTTAAAAAATCTGAAGTCTAAGTCTGATATGTAATTTGTTATAGGTTTATTTTTATATTTGAGTTTGGTTTTTTCGAAAGTCTGATTAGCCTACATAAAAGTCTTTTTATTTTAGATATATGTAAATAAACAATTCAAATAAAGTTTAAATAGATTAAAAATTAAAATACTAATGAAATTAAAAATTTCTTTGCATTGATTTATTTTAACTTATGTATTAATATAAATTTTATGAAACTATTTGTTTAAGAGAACTCATGAAAATAATTAATAAAAGTATTTTCATCTTATTTTTATAAGTTCAAATAGCCAAACTTTATTTATATATTTTAATTTAAAGTACAAAACATAATATAATAATAATAAAAATATTATTCATATTTATTTAACTAAATCAGTCTGATAAACTTAAATTTTTTTTTTATGTTCTGAGATTTAACCTTTTAATAAAATAGGCTTATAAAATAGCATAAATTTTTTTCTATTTAAAAAAATAATCTAACCTAATTTAAATTTGCGTAGACTTTGTTAATCGATCTGACCTATTTTTTAATTAAAATAAAGAATAAAATGGTAAAATAGTATTATCTCAAATATCTTATATACAGGAAAATACATTTTTTGTCTCGTATCTTAATTTTAGACTTCATTTTAATCTTTTAATTTTAAAAAAATCTATATTAATCCCTTAACTCTTCACAACATTTTAGTCCTAATAACTTGAAAAAATAGTCAAATTGTGAAAATATTGCAACTTGCAAGTGTTTCGCCCGGTGCAGTGCAGAAGAAAACCCCAAATAAATGCTCCACCATAGCACAGTGCTTCAATATTCACATGACTCAAAAACCATTTCTCACAACCATTGCCCAAAAATGCAACACCCTTACCCAACTCAAACAATTACACGCCCATATCCTCCGATGTCGTATCCATCACTCTCCCTACGCCCTCGCCCCACTCCTATCCGTTGCAGCAACCTCCTTTTACTCTTACGCTCGGTCCATTTTCATCCACCTCCCTCACCGCAACACTTTCATCCACAACACCATGATCAGAGCCTACCTTCTTAATCATTCTCCCGCAACCGCACTTTCATGCTACTTAACAATGTTGCAAAACGGTATTCCCGTTAACAATTATACATTTCCACCTTTGATCAAATCCTGCACTGCACTTATTTCTTCCTCACATTCTGCTTCCACTCTTATGATCGGTCGTTTGGTGCATTCTCATGTCCTTCAATTTGGGTTCACCCATGACCCTTATGTCATCAGTGCGTTTATTGAGTTTTATTCTGCTTCACGTGACGTGCATAAGGCCAGGGTGTTATTCAATGAAACAAAGAAGAAAGATGTTGTTTTGTGGACGGCCATGATTGATGGTTATGGAAAAATAGGGGATGTTGAAAGTGCAAGACAGTTGTTTGATGAAATGCCTGACAGAAATGTTGTGTCGTGGAGTGCAATGATGGCAGCTTATTCTCGGGTGAATGACTTTAAGGAAGTGCTGGCTTTGTTTTTAGAGATGCAGAATGAAGGCGTGAAGCCGAATGCTTCTATACTTGTTACTGTGCTTACGGCATGTGCACACTTGGGTGCACTTACTCAGGGAATGTGGGTACATTCCTATGCCAGGCGATTCGAGAGGATAAGCTCGAATCCCATCCTTGCAACAGCTTTGATTGACATGTATTCGAAATGTGGATGTCTGGAATCGGCTTTAGCTGTTTTTGATGGTATTTCTGATAAGGATGTTGGAGCTTGGAATGCAATGATTTCTGGTCTGGCTTTGAATGGTGATGCCGGGAAATCGTTGAAGTTGTTTCAACAAATGGTTGTTTGTGGAAGTCGCCCTAATGAGACTACCTTTGTGGCTATCCTTACTGCTTGTACGCACGCAAGGATGGTTCAGGAAGGTCTTCAGTTATTTGAAGAGATGAGTGGAACATACAGAGTTGAGCCGTGTGCGGAGCATTATGCATGTGTTGTGGACCTTTTGTCTAGGGCTGGCATGGTAGTGGAAGCCGAGAGGTTTATTGAGGAGAAGATGGGTGGATTTGCAGCTGGCGATGCTAATGTGTGGGGTGCTATACTGAATGCGTGTAGAATTCATAAGAATATTAATGTTGGGAACAGAGTGTGGAAAAAGCTGACTGATATGGGAATAGCTGATTGTGGTACTCATGTTCTTACATATAACATATATAGAGAAGCTGGATGGGATGCAGAGGCAAACAGAGTTAGGAGTATGATTTCAGAAGCAGGGATGAAGAAGAAGCCTGGATGCAGCATTATAGAGGTGGGAAATGAAGTTGAAGAGTTTCTTGCTGGTGACCAGTCTCATCCACAAGCACTGGAAATGTGCAGGCTGCTTGATTCAATTCTCAAGATGGACAATTTAGAGCACATCTAGTAATGGGTGTAAAGGTAATTTTCAGTGCTAAATTATCTTATTGATTTAGTATCATTGAAATCATTTGCAAGTGCCTATATAGTCACGAGTTTATACTAGAGTATGTCATTGCATAAAGAATTTGTAGATATTTTATACTGGATTGTTGAAGCATAATAGACATCTTGCTCTCAGGCTGTATAAATTTACATTCATAATTTGCTCTAGTTATACATAGTATCACAATTGCAATGATGATCCACCATGCACTAAACTTCAGTGATTTTTATGAACTAGCTGATACATTATGGCTACAAATTTGGGGTTTCATTGCAGATTTGTGTAAAATATTCTGTCAGAAATAGACACTTCTGTTTTCCAGTTTGTTACTCATCTTTTATTTTTGATCTCTCAGCAACCTTTTTCCTCTTATCTGTTTGGTGATAGAAAAGTAGCAAGGAGCAATTTGGCATTTTGGGTTTCCCGGGTATCAAGAACACTAATTCGTGTGAAAGTCTAATGCTGATAATAAATCACTGATAATGTGTTTCAGCCATTCTGCTCTGGGACCAGGCCCAAGTTCAGTTATATCTCTTACAACGGATACTGTTTAGTGATGCTTGAATTTGCTTACTGAACCACATACCAGGCACTTAACCATTTGCATTTCGTCCCAAGAGTTTGATGTCTATCTTATCACAGACAGGTTCATTTCTGCCAAATTTCCTAGCAAACGGAGCATTGCTGTCCACCATTAACTGCTAGTCATTGATTGTGAGGAAATGTCGGTGTTGTTTTGGAAGGTTGTCCTACGAAATGAAATTGAGGTCATGGTTCACAGTAGTGTTGCGAAATCCTCAGCATTACAGATGACTGTGCGAAAGTATCCTCAAGCAATGACAGAAAGTTATCATAATACATCAAGACAGTTCTAGGCAAGTTATCCAACCCCACAATATACAATTTGCATTAAAATGGTGAGAAAGCATCAGACACAGCAAAATCAAGAATCAAAGTTTAAGAACTTGGATAACCAGGAACTGGAATAACCACTTGTGAGTTTTTTTTCTAGATTTTCTTATAGTTCTGACTCAAGTCAGATTTATGTAAATCTCTAATCTTTTTGTTTTTCAAATCTTTTTGTTTTTTGAGAAGGGGAGATTATTTTCTAATACAGTTTCTTTAATGATTATCATAAGTTGTAATCATCTTTTACATTATATGAAGTTGTGATACTTTATTCATATTATGGTATCAAGAGCTCTCTTTTTGAAGAGTTCAATTAGATTCAATCTTATTCTTCTTTGATTCTGATGTGATATTCTTCATCCTCTTGAAGAATTTCTTTGATTTTCAGTTGCAAATTTCGAGTTTTGTATTCATTCTGTTACTTCTCTACAACATGTTATCAGCTTCATCAACGGCACCTCGCAACGCAATGTTCAACCAGTTCAACTTCAATTAGATTCAGTCTATTATGTTCATCCAAGTGATGGACCGAATTATGTTTCTGTTTCGCCAAAACTCGACGGGTCTAACTATGTTGCTTGGAATAGATCAACGTGTCGTGCTCTTGGAGCAGAGAACAAACTGTCCATTATCGATTGATCCATACCACCAATTCCTGAGCATGAAGATCACAACCGTGCAACTTGGGAGAGATGCAACTGGTACATTCTTAGCTTATTAATTTAGTTTCAGATTCAATTGCACAAACTATCATGTTTCACGAAAACTCCATTGATGTGTGGGAAGATTTAAAAGAACGATTTTCCAAAATTAATAGAGTTTGTGTTTTGACTCTTAGATCGTAGCTTAACTTCCTCAAACAAGGTTCAAAACTTGTTTTAGAGTATATCATAGAGATGAAAACTCTTGATGAATTGAAATGTACATCAACCAATTCCTTCTTGCACATGTTTTCATCAGTGCAAATGTGATGTTATGCGCTCAATGAGAAATTTCATACTTTAAGACTAAGCAATTCAGTTTTTAACTGGTTTAAATGATTACTTTTCAATGGTTAAGACACAGGTGTTGTTAATGGAGTCTCTACAATTCATTAACAAGATCTATTCCTTAGTTGCTCAAGAATAGAGCAACATTGTACTTACATTCGATGATTCTAGCTTATTAGAAAAAACATTTAATGTTAAAAGAGCACATGGTCAAGGCAGAGGATCATATGGCAAAATAATTCAAGATTTTGCCGATATTGCAACATAGTCATACCATTGATTTTTGTCACCAAAAGCATGACCATCTTCAGATAAACAAATCTCCTTTAGTTGCCAATTCACCAGCAGTTTTCCTCAAAATGTTCATAACTCAATTCGAACAACTGTTTCACCAAATTCCACATAACCAGTGCCTACTTTATCTCTAGAAAAATATGTTCAGTTTGTGAGGTTGTTGCAGTAGGCTATTTTGATTCCTCTAGCAAATAATGATATTGATTCTAGTTCTAACCAAATCACATCATCAGACAATTTTTTTCTTGGTCATCCACCAAATGAATCAAATTCCTTAAAAAAAAAAAAGGAAGTTCTAGTAAACTTAGCAATGTCATTTCTTGTTCAACAAGTAACAATAAAATTTTGAATTGTTGGCTCATTAACTCGGGAGCCAATGGCATATTTGTTCTTCCTTACATGTTTCTAACTCTTTTTATAGAATTAAACCTATTAATCTCATTTTGCCTAATGACAACTCAGTTTAAGTGTCATATGTAGGTGATGGTCAAATTTCTCCTTTTCTCTATATCACTAATGTATTATATTCTAATGAGTTCAATCTCAATCTAATTTATGTGTCCAAATTATATCAATCATTGAACTTGTCTATCAAATTTGAAATTGAGTTAGTGTCATTTTTTTTATTTTGATGTTCTATTTAAATTTAATCTCTATGTATAAATTGATTTATCGCTTATTTGTAATTTGTTTATTTTGATTATTCGATTATATGTGCACCTTTAAGATACCCTTATATTTAATAAATTAGTTTTTGAACTCATGACAGTGTGTTTTTAGCCAAAGCAATTTGATCTAAGTTAATATGTTAAATATAACTTGAATCACAAGTTAGAATACTGAAATTAAGGTTTTTATGAAGCTTGATTTGAATAAGACCTTTGGTGATTTGAATCAGGTATCAACATGAAGTTTAAAATTTGATTATGTTAGCTTGATTCGAATCAAAGATTCGAATCACAACACTCCTTGACTCGAATCACAATACTTTTGATTTGAATCATGTGATGAAAAATTCTTTTCAAAAACAACTATGATTCCCAACACTCCTTGACTCGAATCACAATACCTTTGATTCGAATCATGTGATAAAAAATTCTTTTAAAAAACAACTATGATTTGAATGATACTTTAGCGTCATTTGAATCATAGACTCGGATCATGATTCAAATCAAATGACAAATTCCTCATTTTAATACGTTTGATTCAAATCATAACTTCACGTTTTGACTTGAATCATTTTGCCTTTCCTTCATTTTTTGTGTCTAACCTTTAGCATTTATTTTTAATTTCATTTAGTGTTGCTTTCAAAAATTTAATCTGTTTGACAATGTGTTATAAGGTTAGTCACTCAATAAGCCAATAAACTGATAGTTGATTAATCATGCTGATTGACATTAAGATATTCATTAAGAAAAAAAGTTTCACAATGAGATTCTCCTATAGTGATATTTGTTGAGATTCATACTCATACTTTCATAAAGTTTGAAAAATAATGGAAGTTTTTTTATTCACAAATACAATATCTCCTTAATTTAACCTTATAAAAAATTTCCTAGAATATTGATGTTATTAGAATTTGTAGTTGTGTTGTGTGAGACTTTTTATATACCTCACATCATCTTTAACTTTATATTAAAAAATCATTATTGTGGTGTCAAACTCTAAATACGTGTGAAAGATAAATGTGATAAGAGTAAATTGGAAAAATAGTCAAAATTAAAGGGTTGTAGACATCATTTAGATAACTTTAAAAGGTTAATGGTAGAAAGAAAAAAAAAGTTATGACCAATCTAAGAAAATGATAAAACATAAAAATTAGAAAAGTTTATCGAAAACAAACATTATTCTATTTTCTTCACCTTGGATCAAAATATTTTATTTTCTTTGTCAACAGTGAGACTTAGAAGATTGCAATATGAGGATAGGGGAGGTGGATTCTATATTATTGGGAAAGTGCCTAACAAGTCAGCTCACCCATGTGGAACAAACCATTAGCACACGCCATTGTTTCAAGTCAGCAGTATACTTTCTTGTATACTGTTTCTCGTATATACAAGTTACAACATGATCCTCACATGATCTATCATTTACTGAACTTTCATGATTTTCTACTGTATTACTAATTTGAGATCATGCTAATAATCTTCCCAATCATTTTTCTATTGGTTAAAATTTATATGTTTATCAAACTTAACCCAAAAAAGTGTAATAAAATATGTGTGATACATATTGTATGGTTAATCTTATTCATAAATATTTATAAACATGTTATCCTCTATAATGATTTATAAACAAATATCAACATATAATTTTGTTGGACAACTTCTAATGGCGATAAAATTATTTATATTGTCTAAATTATTCTTCATTTAATTGTTTTGGGGACATAACAAATTAGTTAATTGAAAATTAAAGTTAAATAAAAAGAACAAATGTTTGGGGAATATTGACTAAAAAAGATACAAAAGCTAGAATTAATGACATTCTAATTAAGTTGACACCTCAAAACCACATTACCCTCAAATGATCTTTGATTAGGAATGAGGATAAACTCAGGTAAGACAAATGCAATCATCAATATCTAATGAGAGAAGTAATCTTGGACATGATAGTATCAAGCATGTCTGCTAAAATTTTGTGATGATTTTGAACTTACAATTTTCCAAGACTATAGGTATCTAGTGCTTCATTTTGATGGCTTTAGAGCTTTTAAGAATCAAAACCAGAATATTATAATGTTGTAGTTTAGAAGCAACCAATCATTAA